TCCTGCTACGGGTCTGTCATAAGCTTCGCAGGTTGAAGGGTCCTACTGGCCCCCTACTGGCCGGCTCAACCATGGTTCTCAGAGCTACTCGGCTGGTGTCCGCATCCACTGATGTTGGGGAGCGCCTGCCTTTTCGATCCCCTCGTTTCCAGGCTATAGAGATCACTTCACTTACAAGCGTGGAGTTTCTCCGTGCCTCCATGAGCAGACCGTATTCACCTAGAGTGGTGGAGGACATCTTGTCAGAACTAAGACCCTCCACTACTCGACAATAAGAATCCTGCTGGAAAGACTTCCAGCAGTACCTCAAGGAACAGGGCGCCCCCACGCCCAGTGAAAGTGTAGTACTAGAGTTCTTATCGTCTCTAGCGCACGAGCGAGGCGGGTCTATCCCGACCCTCTCCGTCCTGGTTGCCCTCACCGACCCCCTGAATTACGGGTGCGGGGTGAAGGTTAACAACAGGTCGGTTACCCTGCTGAAGTGGGGCCTGTTCCACCAGCGTCCACCTGCTAGATCACCCCTTATCTTCTGGTCCTTGGAGAAAGTCCTCACACTTTTGGACTAGGTAAGTACTATTCCTTCATTCCTGTGAACTATACTGACAACCTAGCCTTTGGGCCACTGGCCTTATGGTGTCTGCTTTTCCTATGTTCTTGTTCCTATGAATGTTTTACCATGACATGGATTAATCTGATATCTGTCTCACCTCAGGATCCATTCACCATCCGGCCGTCAAAGGACCGCCTCTTCCTCGTAGCTCAAGGCACTCACGAGGTTCGACCAGTGGACCCCTTTCTTCCAAGGAGATTCTGCAGTGTCCCTGGCACCTTCTCCCACCTCCCTGGCGAAAAATGAGCGCGAAAACCGCAGGTTCCAGCCAATAGCAGTTCCAGCATGGAAGGTGGAGGGCGAGCTCCACCGACTCTGCCCGGTCGGGATCCTACGCCAATACCTCTCCGCCACGGCCGACAACACCACCAGCCAGCATCACCTCTTCATTCATCCTCGGTCGGGGCGCCCGCTGTCAGTCAGGGTGTAGCGGCTTCACTGGCCTTCCTGAGAACCCACTCCTTCTCACAGGTCCGGAAGGGGGTCAGTGGAAATCAGTCCAATTTCGGAAAATCATCAACGTCTTAACTACTTGAGTAAATTCTTGCGTTTATATTTTAGTGAACAGTACCAAATTTTATCTCTGGTTGTCTTGTAGAAAACTTGGCCAAACTTATTGAATGAACCATGATAAATACAAAGTTTTCAAAATGATAAGAATATTTACTTCAGAAAGCATTACTTATAACATAACGTAACAAACAGACAAGTGAGTCGGTAAAGATTTCGGAGTTAATGTAATTATATGAGAAACACACCTAAATAAAGGTTACAAAGCTTAGTTAATCAATAAGATTAATTCGTAATCATTTAATAACCTGATCATTAATTGTCTGTCCATATTTGGAATAAGCCGATAATTAATGTTAAAAGCCCGTAGCCGAAAAGGTAAGTTGAATACGTGGCGAATGTGCAACACCGTATTGTGTTGCCCTAGATGAAAGATTTAAATCATGAATATTAAAGAAGTGGCATCACTATTTTAAAGAAAGATTCGTAGGGGTATGATAACTCGGGACCTACATCTTCAACTGCTCAGGGGAAAGGATTTTATATCTTTAAAATTGAGGGAAACGAACACTTCTCCATCTCAGATTTTATACAAAATCATGATAGAGCAGCGAATATTCCACCAGAAGAGCTTTTTTTTCCAATGGCAATAAAAACAAACAAAATATATATAAATAAATCTAAACATATACAGTACTGTATATACTATTATATTTCCGGCTAGTAACGAGACCAGAAGCTATTACCTGGAGAGTTACGGGATAAAAACTTTTTTTGCCTTACAACTCAGGGTTAGGAATTATCTTATTGATTACGCGTTTTAAACTGCAACCTAGACCATGGGGTTACTTTTGTAGCACACAAGATCTGGCAATCCACTTGCTCCCTCTCCTAGGCTCCTCGTCATCCCTGTTTCGTCGATATCAATATTTTTAAGTGTGTCGACACCGAGATCACTTGTCAGGAAAGTACACATGTAGGGTGCAGGAGAGGATGAAGGGAGGGCACGGCTGAAAGGGGAATTTGTGGTGACGTCGTTCGTTGACAGCGACACATAATATGATAAGTCGTGTCTTAAGGGCGGTGACGAGTGTTGGTGTAACGTGTCTCAGTGATGGTGGCGAGTGGTGTGACGTGTCTCAGTGATGGTGGCGAGTGGTGTGACGTGTCTCAGTGTTGGTGACGAGTGTTAGTGGGCCCCCTGGTAGTACCTTAGGGCCTCTGGTCCTAGTAGGCACCATCAGACCCCCTGGTGGCACCATGGATCACCTGGATCAGGTAGGCCCTGAGGGCCCCCCTGGTAGTCCAGTAGGGCTCCTTGGTAGTTTCATGAGGCCCCTGGCCCTGATAGGGCCCTTAGGGGCAGCAGTCCCATGAGCCCCTGGCCCTGGTAGGGCCCATGTTAGTCCCATGGGGCCCCCCCTGTTAGTCCTATGAAGCACCTAGCCAGGTCTGGCAGGGCCCCTGGAGGCCCCATGGTACTTCAATAGGGCAATAGTAGATCCCTGAAGCTCCCTGATAGTTTCATAGGGTCCCTGGCCCTGACTGGACTCCTGGGATGTGGCAGGGTCCCATGGGGCCACCTGGTAGTCCCATGGGGCCCCTGGGGGATCCCTGGTTGTCCCATGGGCCCCTGGATCTGGTAGATTCCTAAGGGCCACCTGGTAGTCCGATAGGACCCCTGGGGCCCTCCTATTCCCATAATGTCCCTGGCCAGGCATGATAGGGTCCCTGGGTGCTCCATGGTACTCCTATGAGACCCTGGTGAGGAGTTAAGACCCCTGAGTACTCTATATGGGGCCCCTAGCCCTGGTAAGCCCCTGGGGGCCATCTGCTATTCCCACGTGGCCACTGGGGGACCTCTGGTAGTTCCATGAAGCCCCTGGGAGATCCCGTGGGGAACACCTGGTAGTCCCATGGGTCCTCTGGCTCTGATAAGACCCCTGGGGGGCCACGTAGTAGGCCCATGGGACCCCTGGCGCTGGTAGGCCCCTGGTAGTACCATAGAGCCCCTGACCCTCGTAGTCCCCATGTGAGCCTGTTGGTAGTCCTATAGGGCTTTGGCCCTGGTAGGGCCTCTGGGGCATTCTGTTAGTCCCATGAGGCCTCTGGTCTGCCCCTGGGGACTCCCTAGTAATCTCATGGGGACCTTGGCCGTAGTAAACCCCCTAAGGGCCCCCTGGTAGCTATTTGGGGCCCCCTGAAGTCTCATGGGGCTCCAAGCTTTGGTAGGCCCCTGGGGGCGCCCTGGTAATCATCTGGGAGCCCCCCTAATAGTCCCATGTGGTTCCTGGCCGGGCCCCTGGTAGTTCTATGGGCCCCCTGGCCCTGGTATGTCCCCAGGCGGCCCCCTGGTACCCCCAGATGGCCCTGTTAGGCCCTGGGGCTACGCTGGTAAGCCCCTGGGACCCCCTAGTAAGCCCATGGGGTCCCCTGGTAGGTCGATGGGGCCCCTAACCCTAAAAGGGCCCCTGAGGTCCTACTGGTAGTCCCATGAGGCCCCTGGGAGTCCCCTGGTTGTCCCATGGGGCCCTGGCTCTAGTAGGACCCCTGTGGGCTCCCTGGTAGTACCATTGAGCCCCTGGTCCTGGAAGGCCACTTGAGACCCCCTGGTGGTGCCATGGGGCACCTGGAAGAGGTAGGCCCCTGAGGGCCCCCTGGTAGTCCAGTAGGGCCCCTTGGTAGTCCCATGAGCATCTGGTCCTGGTAGGGTCCCTGTTACTCCCATGGGGCCCTTGGCCCTGGTAGGGCCCCTGGGGGCCACCTTGTAGTGTCATGGGGCTGGTGGGGACCACTGGTAGCATCATGGGGCCCCTGGGTGATCCCTTGTTTTCCCATGAGACCCCTGAGGGATCCTTGGTAGTTCCATGGGGCCCCTGGTGGATCATCTGTAGTCCCATGGAGCCCCTGGGGATCTCTGGTAGTCACATGGGGCCCCAGGGGTACCCCTGATAGTCCCATTTAGCCCCTTGGGTGTCCTTGATAGTCCCATGCCCCTAGAGGTCCCATGCAAGTACCAATGGGGCCCTCAGTTCTAGCAGGGCCCCAGATGGCCACCTGGTATTTCAGTAGGACCCCCTGGTAGTCCCACGTGCCCTTTGGTCCTGAGACGGCCCTGGTAGGCTTCTTGGTAGTTCCATGGTGCCCCTGGCCCTGGTAGGTCCCCTGGAGGCCCCCTGGCAGTCATGTGGGGCTCCTCAGGGACCTCTCGCAGTCCCACGGGGACCCGGGGCCCCCGGAGGACCCATGTTCGTCTCACGGGACTCCTGGGGGATACCTGGTAGTTTCATGGGATCCATGGCAGTAGGTAGGGCCCATTCTAGTACCATGGGGCCCCTGGTTCTGGTAGGGCACCTTGTAGTCCCATGGGACCCCTGGTTCTGGTAAGGCCCCTGCCTTTATTAGGACCCTGTGGGGCCCCCAAGGCTGTAACTAATTGCGTCCATTATGGTCTGACAAGTGCTATAAACATTCTAACGGTCGCTTACGTGGGTGTATGGGCGCAGGCATGTGTGTGTGTTCCTGTTAATTACACCCTGGTAGGCCCCCAGGGGGCCCCCTGGTACTTCCTAATGGCTCTGGTAGGCCTGTGGGACCCCCTGCTAGGACGATGGGCCACTGACACTGGTATGGCCCCTGAGATCCTACTGGTAGTCCTATGAAGCCCCTGGGAGACCCCTTGTTATCCCGTGGGGCCCTTGGCCCTGTTTGGGCCCTTGTGGGCCACCTGGTAGTACAATAGGGCCCCTGATCCTTGTAATACCCCCGAGACTCCCTGGTAGTCCAGTAGGGCCCCTAGGTAGTCCCATGAGGCCCCTGGCCCTGGTAAGGCCCTTAGGGGCAGTATTCCCATGAATCCCTGGTCCTGGTAGGGCCCCTGTTAGTCCCATGGTGTCCTTGGCCTTGATAATCCCAAGAGACCCCTGGGGGAACTCTTGTACTCCCATGGAACCCTTGGGGTACCCCTGGTTGTCCCATGGGGCCCCTGGGGGATCCCAGGTAGTCCCATGAGGACTCTGGAGGACCCCTGGTAGTCCCGTGAGGCAATTTGCCTTGGGAGGGCCCCTGGTGGGCTCCCTGGTAGTCTCATGAGGCCCTTGGGTCTGGTAGGCTCTATGGGGGTCCCCTGGTATTCCCATGGTGCCCCTGGCCCTGGAAGGCTTTCCGGTAGTCCCATGGTGCTTCTGGCCCTGGTAGGTCCCCTGGGGGGCCCCCTGGTAGTCCTATGGGCCCCCTCAGGGACCTCTGGTAATCCCACGGGGCCTCTGAGGGACCCCTGTTTGTCTGTTGGGATACCTGGGGAACCCTGGTAGTCCCATCGGGCCCTTGGCTGTGGTAGGGCCCCTTGTGGCAAACTCGTACTCCCATGGGGCCCCTGAGGATTCCTAGTAGTCATTTGGGGTCCCTAAAGGACCCCTGGTAGTTCCAAAGAGACCCTGGGGGATCCCTGGCTGTCCCATTGGGCCCCTGGATCTGGTTGCCCCTAAGGGCCACCTGGTAGTCCTATAGGGCCCCTGGGGTCCTCTTAGTTTCATGATGCCCCTGGCCAGGCCTAGTAGGATCTCTGGGTGCACCCATGGTACGCATATGGGACCCTGGTAGGCCCCTAAGGCCCCCTGGTATTCTCATGGGGGCCCCTAGCCCTGTTAAGCCCCTAGGGTCCACCTGATAGTTCCATGGGGCCCCTGGGGGACCCTCGGTATTTTCATGGAGACTCTGGGAAATCCCTCGTAGTCCTATTGAGCCCTTGGGGGACACCTGGTTGTCCCATGGGGCCCCTGGCTATGAAAAGGGCCCCTGGAAACCACCTGGTAGGCCCATGGGACCCCTGGTCCTGGCAGGCACCTGGGGGCCTCCTGGTAGTTCCAGGGAGCCCCTAATGGTTTCCTGGTAGTCCCTTGAGGCTCCTGGCCCTGGTACCACCCCTGGGGCCCCATATAATTTCTACAGGACCATTGATGGGCCACTGGGGGCTCCATGGTACGGTTCAAAGGGGCCTATATTAATTCTGCAGGACAATGGTAGGCATTTGCGGGCTCCCTGGTAGTCCCATGGTAGTTCCATGAGGCCCCTGGCCCTGGTACGGCCCCTGGGGCCCCATATTATTTCTGCAGGACCATTTGTGGTCCCTTTGGGGCCTCCTGGTACGTTTCATAGGGGCCTATATTATTTCTGCAGGACGCCGGTAGGCCTTTGTGGGCTCCGAGGTAGTCTCATGGGGTCCCTGGCCGTGGTCGGACCCCTGGTCGTGATAGGTGCCCCTACGGACGATCTGGTAGTCCTATGGGGCCCCTGGAGGGTCCCTTGTAGTTCCATGGGACCCCTGGGGTATCACTGGTAGTCCCATGGGCCCCTGGGGGACCTCTGGTAGTCCCAAGAGGACCCTGAGGGATCCCTTGTTGTCCCATCTCGTAGGTGTCTAAGGGCCACCTGGTAGTGCTAAAGGACCCCTGGCACTCTCTTAGGACCCCTAGCCCTGGTAAGTCCCTGGGGGTCACCTGATTGTCCCATGGGGAACCTGGAGGACTCCTCGTAGTTCCATGGAGCCCTTTGGAGATCCATGGTAGTCCCATGGGACCCTTGGGGGACACCTTGTAGTCCCATGGGGCCCCTGGGGGCCACCTGTTATGCCAATGGGACCCCTGGCCCTGGTATGCCTCTGGTAGTATCATAGAGCCCCTGACCCCGGCATTCCCTTTGTGGGCCCCCTGGAAGTCCTATGGGGCCCTGGCCCTGGTAGGGACTCTGGGGCCCTCCCTTAGTCTCATGAGGTCACTGGCCAGGCCTTTGAGGGTCCCGGGGACCCATGGTAATCCTACAAAACTCTGGTAGAACTGGGGAACCCCCTGGTAGGCCCCTGGGGGCACCCTGGTAATCATCTTGGAGCCCCCAAGTAGTCCCATCCGGTCCCTGGCCCTGTTAGTGCCCCTGGTTGATCCATGGACCCCTGGCATTGGTAGGCCACCAGGGGGCCCCTTGGTACTCCCAAAGGGCCCTTGGATTATGCTCCAGAATAGGGTAGGATTCCGCCCCAGAATAGGGTAGGATTCCAACCAAATTATGGTGGGATTTATAACCAGGAAAAGGTAGGATTCCGCCTCAGAATAAGGTGGGATTCCGTCCCAGAATAGGGTAGGATTCCGCCCCAGAATACGCTAGGATTCTGACCAAGGAGACGGTAGGATATCGCTCCAGAAAACGCTAGGATTCTGTGCCAGCAGACGGTAGGATTCTGTTCCCAAAGACGGTAATATTGTGCCCCAGAAAACGGTCGGATTCCGCCCACAATACGGTAGGATTCCGCTCCAGAATACGGTAGAATCCTTCCCCAGAGTACGGTAGGATTCTGCGCCAGAATACGGTAGGATCCCGCTATCGAAGATGGTAGAAATCCGCCCCAGAAGACAGTAGGATTCTGCCCCAGAATTCGGTAGGATTTAGCCCAGAAGATGGTAGGGTTCTGCCCCAGAATAGGGTAGGTTTCCGCCCCAGAATAGGGTAGAATTCCGCCCCTGAATAGGGTAGCATTCCTCCCTAGAATACGTTAGAATTCTGCCCCAGAATATGGTAGGATTCTTCGCGGGAATGCGGTAGGGTTCCGCCCTAGAAGATGGAAGGAATCCGTCCCAGAAGACGGTAGGATTCTACAACAGAATACAGTAGGATCTAGCACAGAAGATGGTACGGTTTTGCACCAGAATAGTGTAGGATTCCGCCCGTGGATAGGGTAGGATTCCGCCCCAGAATAGGGTAGGATTCCGTCCCAAATATGGTAGGATTCTGCCTCAGGAGACGGTAGGATTTCGCCTCAGAATAAGGTAGGATTCCGCCCCAGAATAGGGTAGGATTCTGTCCCAGAATACGCTAGGATTCTACCCAAGGAGACGGTAGGATATCGCTCCAGAAAACGGTAGGATTCTGCGCCAGCAAACGGTAGGATTCTGCCCCAGAAAATGGTCGGATTCCGCCCAGAATACGATAGGATTCCGCTCCAAAATACGGTAAAATTCTGTCCCAAAACACGGTTGGATTCTGCGCCAGAATACGGTAGGATTCCGCCTGAGATTTATATAGGATTTCGTCCCAAAATAGGGTAGGATTCCCCCCAGCTTACACAAGGATTCTGCCCGAGAGACGGTAGGATATAGTTCTAAAGAATGGTAGGATTCTGCGCCAGCAGACGGTAGGATTCTGTCCCCAAAGACGGTAAAATTCTGCCCCAGAAAATGGTAGTCTTCCGCCCACAATAAGTTAGCATTCCGCTCAAGAATACTGTAGAATTCTGCCCCAGAATACGGTAGGATTCTGCCCCTCGTAGATGGTAGGAATCCGCCCCAAAAGACAGGAGGATTCTGCCCCATAAACCGGCCAAAAAAGCATTATTCGTAAGGTCCGGACATGAATTTTTGTCATTTTTGGCGACCCCGCAAAAAATGAAATTTTCGTAAGGTCCGGACCTGTCGTTCCGGCAATTTTGGTGAACCGGCCAAAAAAGCATTTTTCGTAAGGTCCGGACATGAATTTTTGTCATTTTTGGCGACCCCGCAAAAAATGAAATTTTCGTAAGGTCTGGACCTGTCGTTTCGGCACTTTTGGCGAAACCGGCAAAAAAACATTTTTCGTAAG